ACAAAGTTTGTTTCTTGCTCATTTTGCTGGCCTGGTATGGTTGAAGGCAGGGTTCAGCCCCATGTAGTCACTCCAGCTCATGGTGCCCCAATCTCAACATGATGCCTCAGGGGTCACTATGGCAGGGGAAAGCAGAATCAGAGGGACTTGGACAGGCAAGGAAATGCTCTGGCCCAGAAGTGACACGGTCACTATAAACTTCCCTTGTACTTGGAAGAGAGCCGAGGCAGATACCGCTGAACATTAGATGTCTCTCTCCCATCATGCCCTGCCCATGGATAATTCCTATTGGATATTTCTGGTGGATGTCACAACTAGGTAAGACTTCAGACAAGATTTCTCCCTTAATCATATTAGTGGATGTTTGTAAATACCTATTTATTTACACGAGGAGGTCCCTCACGAGGAGGCATTTGCATCAGGTCTTTGGGATGAGTTGGAATGTATGGGAAGAGATGAGGAAAAGGACATTCCAAATGATGGAAGAGCCTAGGAGCCATGAGAAGTCTAGCTTGGTGGGCTTGCGGAGGGAAAGCAAGAGGTAAGGTGGGCTGCGACTCGGAGGGAAACAATAATCAATAATTAATAACTAAACCTTATTGAACATCTTTTTGATGTGCCAACCATAGTTCTAAGTGCTTCGCGTGCTTTGCCACAGTAATGGTAACGCTCTGTTGGATCTCTTCCATGTGCACCTCTCGAGTCCCATTCCCCCTTCTCAGTGTCCAGGACACTGGCCCCAACAACTACATCACGATGCTCCCTTGCTCTCTGGCTTCTGGATGGATCAGTCCAACGGGGAGCCCCAGCACGAGATAGAGAGAGGGAAGAGAGTGAATTCAGGGTATTTGTTCCACTGGCTTCCTCCGTGCAGGAACACCCCCTCAGCTGGTGTTCTCGCACCATTTTCCCTAGAGAGGTTTTGGCGGTGCCTCCTCTTGCCCCTTCAGGCCTAGGGGTCCTCATAGTCCTGCTGTTACTAGATTGGGGATACTGTATGATCTTTTGTAGGGTTTCCTTACAATCCTTTAAAAATAGCTCCCTTGTTAATTCTTCAAATTCTAACTAGAATTTCCTGATAGAACCCAACTGATAGAGGTACGTAATGGACCAAATGGGTACTAGTACTGTTCTCATTTTATGGATGACGAAACTGAGGTACAGAGAGTTTAGCTGACCTGCTCAAGGCCATCCAGCTGCATAAGAAAAGTAAAAACTCAACCAGAGAGTATGGCTTGAGGTTCAAAGACCTTCAAAGGCCTTGAATGCCATGTTAAACAGAGAATGTTCCTATCACCTACAGAGGGTGCCAGATGTTCATCCCTTCTTTCTTTTTTCATTAAAAACATATTGAGTAGTACGCCTATGCCTCTTGAGAAACCAACGAGCTTCCTCACACGGAAAATGAGAGAATTCCTCGGGCTCTCATGGCCTCACAGAGCTGTGGTGGGGCTCTGAGAGATTTTAGCCACAGAAAGAGCTATTCTGGAAATTGGGGTGGAGCATGTGACTGAGGTCCAGCCAGTCAGAGCATCACATTCCCCTGGTCACAGTGATTGGCTCAGGACTGATCCAATCAAAGCCAAGGGGATTATTTCTCTGGAACACTTGTAGCTTTCTTCTCTGCCAGACTTCCATTTGGGATATGCCAGGGGCAACAGTGTGGATAAAGGACCCCTGGTCAAGGAATCAGAACCAAGAAGTGGAGAGAAACTGAGTTCTGTGATGACATTTCAGACTGCGTGCAGCCATGTCTGAAATCTATGTAAACCTTTGGATGATTCTCTTACATAAGACAATAAAATCCCTTTTCCCCTCTTACAGAGTTCCAATTCCAGAGTTGCAAACTCATCACTTGCAATGGAAAGAGTCTTGATGCCGTAGGAGAGCTTGGAGTGGAATGGGGAGTGGGGCCTTTGCAGCAGTCAAGTAAACCTCTGTTCATCCAGCAAGACCCAATGAAAATGTTACCATCTTTGTTCAACCTTCCAACCACTCCTCCCTTCATAGCTAGTTGCTCCTTCCCCTCTTTCTTGTGCACTTAGGTTTGTACACACCTCTATTATAGCGCCTCCTTGTGCTGGAATTGTTAGGGTGGCTGTTTCTGCTATGAGGCAGTGAACGATTTGTCTGAATCTTATTCATTTTGGAATTTTCAGTCTTTAGGAAAAGACCTGGTATAAAGTTGATACTCACTGAATGTTTGTTGAATGAATAACTGAATGAATGGGACCAAGGCGGGAGCAATAGGAATGGGCAGGAGGAGATGGATGGGGGTCATCTCTGCAGTGCCAACAAAAAGTAATCGCAGTCTTAAATCTTTTTTTTTTTTTTTTGAGTAACCAGGCTTGAGATTAATATTAATAACAAAGTGTTATTTAGTTGACTTGGACAAAATCCCTGGACAAAAATTAATAATAGCTGTGATTTATTGCATGCCTTATGTGCCAGTTGTTCTGTGTACATTCAATTTGATATTAACTCCAGCTTGGTGATGGAGGTATGCTGAACATGTGGGGACTTCAACACATCCACTTTATTCTGAGGAGTTGAAATCAACTCCAGGGGAGGATTCTCAAAGCCAATCATAGCAATTCCATCCTCCTCTGCAGTGGCTAGCTCAGGGATGGACAGGCCTGGGCCAATTAGGACCAGTAGGATAAAGTTTATTGCCATGAGAAAGGATGTGAGATAAGGTGCTCTCTCTTGCTGGATGTGAACTTGGATGTTTGTGGTCCTGGCTGTTCCTGGAAGCCATCTTGAGGACAAGGCTGATCCACTGAGGAGAGCAGAGCCAAGAAAATCTTAGAGGAATGGACCCAGGGCTTCCATTACTCCCAGCATGAAATTGACCTCTTCTTTTCCTTTTTCTTTCTTTCTTTCCTTCTTTCTTTCTTTCTTTCTTTCTTTCTTTCTTTCTTTCTTTCTTTCTTTCTTTCTTTCTTTCTTTCTTTCCTTTCTTTCTTCCTTCCTTCCTTCCTTCCTTCCTTCCTTTCTTTCTTTCCTTTTTCTTTCTTTCTCTCTCTCTCTCTCTCTTTCTTTCTTTCTCTTTCTCTCTTTTTCTTTCTTTCTTGAGCTCTCTGCCCAATGCAGGGCTCGAACTCACGAGCATGCACGCTCTATGGACTGAACCAGTCAAATGCCCTGCACCTGACCTATTTCCAGAAGTCCAGTTATGGGAATTATGTGAGTCAAAGGCATACCTCTGAGTCTGAGTTGAGTTTCTGTTATTTCATCCAATTACACAGTGAGGAAGCCAAGACTTTGATAGTCATGTGCTTAACATACCTCAGCAAATGGTAAGAGCTGGTATTCCACTCCAAATCTGTCTTATCCTACAGCCTTCGCTCATCCAGCTAAGCTGAGCCAAGAAAAGTCAAGTCACTTGATTTCAGTTCTGATTCATCCATTTACTTTCGGATATGGATTCTCTAATACATGCCGTTTCTACTGTCTAGAATGGTCTATACCTCTCTCTCTGCCTTTCAGGCCTCAGATTAAATAAATGTCACTTCCTGACCTCCTCCCCATTCCAACCCTGGCGATTAACCTAGATCCCTTGGCCATTAATTCTCATGGTGGTTTGTATCTTTCTTTTACACCCTTATCACAATTGTAACTGATGAGTTATCCTATTGTATAATACTTTTAAAATAATTTGTCTATTTCATAAGGGCACATGTGTATCTGTTTTCTCGGTTCTGAATCCTCAGAACCATGGATGTCACTTAGCAGGTGACAGTAAATATTTGATGAAGGAATAAATGAAAGCTGTTGCTCTCTGTGGTTAGGAGTTCTAGCAGCAGCTCTCCAAGCGTGGTCCCAGGACCTGCAAACATTAACATCACCTGAGAACTTGTTAGAAATGTAAATTAGGCCCCACTCAGACCTACTAAGTGAGAATTTCTGAGAAGTAGGGCTGGAGGGCAATCCGTGTTGAGCAGGCCCTCCAAGTGATTCTGGTTCTCGCTGGTTTGAAAGCCACTGGGTTATATACAGATTTGCTCTTGTCTATGCAGTGGGTACACCCTAGGGTTCAACCTTTGCTGATCGGGGTTCTTTGCTGCTTCTATTTCTTAGAAAATCAGTACTTTCACAAAGTAAAGTGGGTTGGAGGATAGGAACAGGAACTCATCGCATCCTATGCCCCCAGCACCTCTGCAGTTGCTGTTCCTTCAGCTTTTTCTTCTTTTTTCTAACGTTTTTTTCTTAAGTAATCTCTACACCCAAAGTAGGGTTCAAACTCAGAACCCCGAGAACAGCATGCTCCACCGACTAAGCCAGCAGGCACCCCTACTGCTCCTTCGGCTTTGATCATGCTTTCCATTATTGACTTTATTCTTTGGGTGTCGGTTTACATTTCCATCCCTCCGTTGCATTTTCTATCTCAGCCCGCTGCTAGTTTGTTGCGTTCATAACATTCACAGCACTCCTCCTTTCTTACAGTTAATTTATTCATTTGCCCTTGTTGCTTCTCTGCCTCCTCGAGTGCAGGGACTACAGCAGTCTTGCTGACTGCACGGGTCGTAGCGTCTGGGTCATAGCAGGGCTAAAACGTGCGTGAACTGAGTGACTGTAGGCTCCACGACGGCAGAGGCTGCGGGCCACGGACTTCCGGGCCGGGAGCCTGGAGCGTACAAGACGCTCCCTAAAGATCTGCGGAATGAATGGGCTACCGAAGCGAAAGGGAAACCGCCCCTTTACTAAGATGGCAGACCCAGGCCCTTTACCAACATGGCCGCCGGCCCGCGTGGATGGGCGGCGGGCGCGAGGAGGGGCCGGGCGGGGGCGGGGCCAGGCGGGAGCCGTCAGGTGCGGCCCCGCCCCGCCCCCCCCTCCCCGCTCGATTCCGGATTGGTCCGGTTCCAGCGCCGCAGCCCGGCGGCCGCGCCGTGGGGCCGCGCCGGGCGCTCGCCACTTCCGGCGCGTTGGGGCTGTTGGTTGGGGGCGGCCGCGCGGCGCGAGCGGGCGGCTCCAGGGCGGACGCGCGCAGGGATGCTCCGGGGGGCGGCGGCGGCGGCCGTGTGGGCTGAGGCGGCGAGGACAGCGCGGGTCCCCGGGCCTCTCCCCTGAGCCGGCTGCCCGGGCTGCTCCGCCGAGGCCCCGTCAGCCTCCGCCCCTTCAGCCTCGGGGCCGGGCCCGCAGCCGCTTCTGAACGCGGAGGCCGGGAGCCCCTGCCTGGGCCCGGAGCCTCCCCTCGGGGGTCGGGCCCGGGCGGGGGGCCCCCCGAGCCGCTGCCCTCCTCACCGGCCTCCGAGCCCCATTTCCTGCTTTTTCAGTTTCCTTGGGGAGGGGCGGGTGGGTTCAGATGAATTGTTCCGGGGGTCCCCGATGAGGCGGGCCCGGGGGCCGCGCTCTTTTTAGAGGGTCCCCGCGGGGCCCGGGTGGGGCAGCGGTTGTCTTTGCATGGGCGGGGGACTTCCCGAGTCTGCCGGGACCATGACCTGAACTGTGCGAGCGGGACGTGTCCGAAGCTCGAGAGCCAGCTCACCTGAGCAGCCCCTCCCCCGGCCAGCATGGTAAGTGGGGGCCGAGCCCCTTCCCTCCCCCGCCCCCCCGCCCCCCGGTGCCGGGTCTGAGGGGTGGGAGCGGGCCCCGGGACTGCTGAGCCATCGCTTCTCCCCGGGGCGGGGAGAGGCGCGTGCCGAGCCCAGCAGTGACACATGCGTGCAGGCTTTGCAGCCCCGGCTCGGCGCTCCCATCCCCCCCCAGGGATGTCTCAGGACTGGGAGGGACCTGGAAACGCAGCAGGCACTACCCTTGGATCTGGGGTTTGCCTCTCTTAACAATGTAGCTTATGTGACAGGAGCTATCCTGTATTTATTGAGGGTTTACTATGTGCCAGGGCTTGTGCTGCGTGATTGACATTTGTTACTTAAGGAGCACACTAGCTCTCTCCTGAAGTGGGGAGACTGAGGCACAGAGCAGCTAATTACCCAGCTCAAGGTCACTCTTTTTTTTTTTTTTAAAGATTTTATTTATTTGAGAGAGTGAGAGAGAGAGCACAAGACGGGTCAGAGTGAGAGAGAGAGCACAAGACGGGTCAGAGGGAGAAGCCGACTCCCCACCAAGGAGGGAGCCTGATGCGGGACTCCGGGATCATGACCCGAGTCCAAGGCAGTCACTCTTAAGTGATAGTGGCACGATCTGAAGTTAAGCAGTTTGACTTCAGAGCTTCTATTAGATATTAACACATAGGGTTGAATGGGGTCTTGCTGTAGGTTTACATAGAAGGAAACAGAGGGTTTGTGATTTGCAGAGGTCACTCATCCGGATAATAGCAAAGTCAGGAACAGGGGTGTCTTTTGACACCGGGGCATGCTGTTTCTGCTTCATGTTCTGGCCTTTTCCCTGGTAGTGCCTGGAAAGCTGTTCATCCTTCCAGATCCAGCTCAGAAGCCACCTCTTCTGAAGATACTTTCCACGTTTTTCACATCCAAAGACACTCTCAGCACTCCCTTACATTTGTGTATCACATCTGTTTATTAAGCCTTTGTCTTGTTATAATTGTTTCTTGAACCTTATCTCTCCACAGCAGTAGATTCAGTTCCCTCAAAGATGAAATTTTCTGAACCTTTATCTTCCCCAACTCCTGGTACATAGTAAACCCATGGGGGAGCGGTTGATTGCTCAGCCTGTGTTTGAGCACCTCCAGTGAAGGAAGTGTTAAGGCTGTCCATTCTACCCCTGTTAGGGATTTAGTAGAGAAAGGGACATAGTGACATCTGTGACATAGATGTTCAGGCCACTGGGATTTTTTAAAACTTTCAAGGGGCCTGTGGGTGTTGTGTCAGGTTCTGGGTCTTCATGGGGCTTAGAACCAGTGCGGTAAAATGCACCATTAATGCTGAGCAGCACTATATAGTAGATACTGTATGTAGTATAGTGGCAGATGGGTTAAGCTCTGTGAGTCCCAATTTTCTCATCTATAAAATGTGTTAGGAATTCCTTAATGAATAATCCAAAGGTATGAGAACATTTAGTGAGTGATAGTACTCAGTATTCCTTTTCTTCATTTATTCTTTCAGTTAATTTTCTGGTTTTTCCTTTTAAGTTGTAAAATACACAGAACATAAAATGTACCATTTTAACCATTTTTAAGTGTTACAGTTTAGTAGCATTAAGTACAGCTGACCCTTGAACAACATGGGGGTCATGGGCGCTGCCCCCCATTGATGTGGAAAATCACGTATAACTTTTGATTCCCCCAGAACTTTACTATTAGTCTACTGTTGACCAGAAGCCTTACTGATAACGTTAACTGTCGATTAATATTTATTTTGTATGTTATATGTATTATGTACTGTATTCTTTTTTTAAAGTTTTTTTTTTTTTTTAAAGATTATTTATTTGACAGCAAGAGAGAGAGAGACAGCAAGAGCAGGAACACAAGCAGGGGGAGTGAGAGAGAGAGAAGCAGGCTTCCTGCTGAGCAGGGAGCCTGATGTGGGGCTCCATCCCAGGACCCTGGGACCATGACCTGAGCTGAAGGCAGACACTTAACCTATTGAGCCACCCAGACACCCCTATGTATTGTATTCTTAACAAAGTAAGCTGGAGAAAAAAATGTCATTAGGAAGATCATAAGGAAGAGAAAATAATTTACAGTGCTGTGCTGTTCTTATTGAAAAAAAAATCTGTGTTTAAGTGGGCCTGTGTAGTTCAAAGCTATGTTGTTAAGGGTCACATTGTACATTCACATTGTGGTGAATGTACATCCCCACATCCCCAGAACTTTTTTCATCTTGTAAAACTGAAACTACCTATTGAGCAATAACTTCATTCCCTTCTCCCTCATCCCCTGGTGACCACACTCTATTTTCAGTCTCTGTGAATTGGACTACTCTAGGTATCTCATAGAAGTGGAATCATACAGTATTGGGTCTTTTTTGACTGGCTTATTTCACTCAGCATAATGTCCCGGAGGTTCACCCATGTTGTAGCATATGTCAGAATTTCCTTCATTTTAAACACTGAATAATCTGTTGTGAGTACATACCACATTTTGTTTATCCATTCATCTGTTGATGGACACCTGGGTTACTTCCACCTTTTGGCTATTGTGAGTAATGTCGTGAGTAGGGGTGTACAAATCTTTCAGTGAATTTTAAGTTGCCACTGGACACCAGGCTCTAGGGAAAGTCAGATGAATAAGCAAACAAGCTCCTCCCCTCAGGGAGCTTGCAAGGAATGTTGCTTTAGGACCCCTGGGCAGAGTTTTATTGGTTTTTGACTAAGCTAGCCAAGCACCCTTGCATTCAGATTTCATTTTAATTGGCAATCAGAGCATTATGAAAATGGCCACTTTTGAGCAATTATTGTAAAGTAGTTGACTTCATGATTACGATGTACATTTTTTTCTAGGGGTAAGTTTTGAGTCAAGGTTTTTGTAAGCTAGACCTCACATAGTTCAGCACACAAGGGGTGGCCACGGTGGCTGTGACCAGATTAGGAACTTCTATTCACATCCTTTCTTCATCACTGACACTGGGGGTTCATATCCTGTAGGTGTCCCAGGGTCAGAGGTGTGGGTGGGGCAGGCCTTGTCCCCAGAATGCAAGGAAACCGTTTCCTGGTGTGTGTCTTACAGGAGGAGGAGCTTTTCCCTGGGATCACATCTCTTTCTTTCTTCCAGGAAATTTTTTTCCCTCTCTATTTCTTACTTTTAGGAGTATTAGTTGACACATGTTTGAACCTTTTTTATTTTTTAGAGAGATTTTATTTATTTGATTGAGAGCGTGGCGGGGGAGGGGCAGAGGGAGAGGGAGAAGCTGACTCCCCGCTGAGCAGGGAGCCCAATGTAGGGCTTGATCCTAGGACCCCGAGATCATGATTTGAGCTGAAGGCAGATGCTTAACTGACTGAGCCACCCAGGCGCCCCTGTTTGAGCCTTTTTAATGTCTTTGTAAAACTTCAATCCTAATGAGATGAAAATAGTATAATATGCTAAAAACACCATTTATTATATATCTGCTGTAAGCTATTTCTCATTTGTTCATTTTTCTTGTAGTCCTTCGGTCTGGTCTGGTTAACCAGACCAACCCTGCTAGGTTACATTATGGCCAGTTTTCCCAGAGGGGGAGATGACAGACATGCTGTAGGATACCTGGGTGGAGCCGGCATTTGGACCAAGGTGTTCTACTCCAAAGCCTGCACTTTTTGGCAGGACAGATCTTCCTCAATTTACAGTGGGGTTATGTCCCGATAAACCCCTTGTAAGTTGAAAATATTGTAAGTCGAAAATGCATTTACTACACCTAACCTATGGAACATCATAGCTTAGCCTAGTCTACCTTAAATGTGTTTAGAACACATAAGCACACAAGGGGTGGCTTGTTGGGCAAAACCATCTAACACAAAGCCTGTTTTATAATAGAGTGTTGAATATGTCATGTCATTTATTGGATATTGTACTGAAGGTGAAGAACAGAATAGTTGTAGGTGTATTGGTTGTTGATCCTGGTGATCATGTGCTGACTGCGAGTCGCAGCTGGCTGCCACTGCCCAGCATCATAAGAAAATTTCGTACTGCGTGTCACTAGCCTGGGAATAGATCCAAAGTCAGAATTCGAAGGATGGTTTCCACTGAATGTGAATTGCTTTTGCAGCCTCCTGAAGTCGAACCATTGTAAGTTGGGGACTGCGCGTCTGCACCTGTGCAGATCTCAACGTGGAAGATCATTGAAGATGATTGGACTGTCATCCAAATATATTCTGTTTGGTTCTGAGGTCGATAGTGATGGGGGCTAGAGAGTATGGACATTTCCTTTAAACTGTTCCTCTCGGAGCGATCTTGACCTACAAATTTAGAACCAGTTAAAGAGATTTGTAGGGGCACCTGGGTGGCTCGCTCAGTTAAGTGTCTGACTTAGGTTAGGGTCATGATCTCGGGGTCCTGGGATTGAGCCCTGTGTCTGCCTCCCAGTTTGCTTGTCCCTCTCCCTCTGCTCCTCCCCCCACTTGTTCTTCCTCTCTCAACTAAATAAGTAAAAATCTTAAAAAAAAAAAAAAAAGGATTTGTAGTTGTAGTACAAAATTACTATAACAGCTATACTGTAAGTACATTTGATTAAATCATTGGGTTTTGTTGAATTCCCATGAGTTCTTTTTTTTTTTTTTATTCCCATGAGTTCTTAAGTGATGTAATATCTTAGAGGTTCCCACTACTTCTCCGAAAAGTTGTTACTTAATATTGAGTGAGCTGTTGGTTATTATGGAAATTGTGTGCAAAACTGAGTTCTTGCTTAAATTAGTGTTTTTCTAGTTGCTTAGAAAATTGCTTTGGTTACAAAGACTTATGGTTGAATGTGACCTTCCGTGACATTCCCGTAATTAGTGGTCCCTATAATGGAGGCAAAATCAGACCTTAGATTTGGCCTCTCAGATGGTGTGTCATCCACTTGTTCATCAATGGTGTTACATGGCGCCCCCTGCCATGGGAGGTATGAAGAAGCCATGGTGGTGCAGGGGGATGCCAGGGAAAGGTTCTGCAGTCCTCAGAGGTTCCGTAGGCAGTCAC